GGGGGGGGGGGCGGGCGGGATTGCAGCAAGGCACTGGTGGCTCATGCCCATAATCCAGCTTCTCAGGAGGCTGAGATCTGAGGACCACCATTCAAGGCCAGCCCACTTACAAAAAAAAAATTAAATTAAAAGCTATTCAATTTAATTTTTTGTTGTTGGTGGTGGTCATGGTCTTGAACTCTGGGCCTGGGCGCTGTCCCTCAGCTCTTCAGGTCAAAGCTAGCACTCTGGACCACTTGAACCAAAGCAGCACTTTCTGTTTTCTGGTGGTTAATTGGAGATAAGGGTATCTCGAAAACAAAACAAAACGGAAGTGGTGCTGTGGCTCAAGTGGTAGGGTGCTAGCCTTGAGCTGAAGAGCTGAGGGACAGTGCTCAGGCCCAGAGTTCAAGTCCCATGACCGACAAAAAAAAAAAAAGCTTTGTGCTGGGAAGGTGGCTCAGCAGTAGAGTGCTTGCCTCCCATGCATGAGGCTCTGGGTTCAATTCCTCAGCACCACATACACAGAAAAAGCCGAAAGTGGCTCTGTGGCTCAAGTGGTAGAGCGCTAGCCTTGAGCTGAAGAGCTGAGGGACAGCGCCCAGGCCCAGAGTTCAGACCTATGACTGACAAGAGTCTCTCGGACTTTCCTGCCCGGCCTTGCTTTGAACTATGATCCTCACATCTCAGCCTCCTGAATAGCTAGGATTACAGGCATGAGCCACCAGCACCCAACGATTTATACTTTCTAAGGAAAGTTAAAATATGAAATGTGTTTATTTTAATAGAGTAAGACAGAAGCAGTATATCATATTTTCCACTTTGTTAGTAAGAATACCTGATATCGGGAATAGCACTTTTGTCCTATTCCTGGGGCTTGAAACTCAGGGTCTGGGCTCTGTCCCTGAGCTTTTGTGCTCAAGGCTAGTGCTCTACCACTCAAACAACAGTGCCACTTCCAGCTTCTTGTACTTAATTGGAGCTAAGAGTCTCATGGACTTTTCTGCCCAGGCTGTCTTCAAACCATGATTCTCAGGTCTCAGCCACCTGAGTAGCTACGGGCACCCAGTGAATAGCACTTTTTTAACTGAAGAAACTGAAGCTCAAATAGAAGAGCCCCTGCATACCAAATGAAGGCTTAATTCAAATCTCAGAAGAGTTAAATCGTTAAGCTAAAAGGTGTAAGAATTAGCCATGTAGACACAGAAGTTTGTGTCTGAGAAACCACTTCAGGAACCAGAAGACATAAAATCTTTTAATAAAATGTTTTTTCTACTACTTTAAGTACTAAATTATTCCTTATTCTATACCATGAAGGCACCTCTGTCACAAACACTGAAGATAAATGAGTTCTTAGCATTAAAAAAAAAAAAAATCACTTAAGAGCCATGGAAATATTTCTGTTATTCAACTTAGAAAAAAAATTGTTATCAGTAAAGAGGCTTGGATTTGTCGCTCAAAGCTGGTGCTCTACAACTTCCAGCAATTTACTGGTTAAAGTTTCATGGATGGGCTGGGAAGATAGCTCAGTGGTAGAGTGCTTGCCTTGCATGCATGAGGCCCTGGGTTCAATTCCTCAGCACCACATAAGCAGAAAAAGAAGGAAGTGGCACTAAGGATCAAAGCGATAGAGCATTAGCCTTGAGCTGAAAAGCTGAAGGACAGTGCCTACGTCCAGAGTTCAGGCGCCCCATGACTGGCCAAAAACAACAAAAAAAGTATCATGGACTTTGCTGTCTAGGGTAGCTTGAACCACAATTCTCAAACCTCACCTCCTTAGTAACTAGGATTATAGCATGGGCCACTAGCACTCTGCTATTTATAAATCTTTTAAATAATGTTTATATAAAGAGAACAAAATAAATAATTCAAGAAACTTGCCTGCCTGTCTCACAGGTAAATCCAGTTGCTCTGACATGGTAATCTGGAGCAGTGTTGAAACAAAATTCAGAGACTTGTGTGCCTACAAAAAAAAAACAAAAAGCATTTTAATTTCCTATAAATGAGTAATTTATTTGCTTATTTTTATTTTGGGGGATGAGATGTTTCCATATAGCCCAGCTTGACTTTGAACTGGAGATCCTTCTGCCTTAGTCTCCTGATCCCATGATTCTCTACCATAGTAAGTATATTTAAATATGACAAATCACTATCATTTTCAGATATTTGGATTTATCAGAATACCATTACATACACTTCCCCATTAACCCTAATTAGCATCTTAAACCTACTTAGGTAACAACAGCTTAAAAATAATATCCTGTCATAATTATCTTTCCCTTGCAGTAAGTAATTTCCTATGCAGATATCTAATAAAGTAGCTAGACCTGAACTAATGCAACAAAAATGAATGGCTTGGGGTTCTTTCCAGGGTTTTTGTTGTTGTTTTGAGATAAGGCTTCACTATAGAGTGTAGTCTAGCCTCAAGGCTCTCAATGATCCTGCTTTCTTGTAAGCCTCCCAAATGCTGGAAAAGTAAGTCTACATTACCAATGTGCTAACAAAGCTTATTTCCTGGTATGGTTGCTTTAGACAAATATGTTTAACTGAACTGTCAAGTTACATTTTCTCTTGTATATTTTTACAGTTTCATCCAAATCCATCCCACTAAGTCCACTCCTTCCAGCTACCTCTTCAATCCAAGTTTTGTTATTTTTCCATACAGGTTAGATGAACATCATTCTTGGTTTCATTTTAGTTTTACAGATTCTAAAGAGTTCTGCAAACCCTTTTTTTTTATTTTATTTTGAACTCTGTGCCTCTAGCTCTGTTTTCGCTGGTTAGCTGAGTGGTAGAACTCTGCCAGTAGAGCCATGCCTTTAGTCCACCACTTTTGACAGTCAATTGAAGATTAAGAGTCTCTCAAGGTTTTTCTGTCTGAGCTAGCTACCTTTTTTTGTTTTTTGAACTTGGCCTGGACGCTGACCCAGAGCTTTTCTGTTCAAGACTAGTGCTTACCACTTGAACCACTGCTCCACTTCTGGCTTTTGGGTGGAAACTAGAGATAAGAGTCTCAAAAGGGGCTGGGAAGGTGGCTCAGTGGTAGAGCGCTTGCCTTGCATGCCTGAGGCCCTGGGTTCCATTCCTCAGTACCACATAAGCAAAAAGAAAAAAGC